TGTGGAACTAAGAAATATTATTTTCTAATTTTTAGTCCATTTATAAACTCTTTACTCTTGCTTTCATTTTGACTAATTTTGATAACAATAGATTTTTTTAAACCAAGGAATGAAACAGATTCAAAATAACGTTCCGGTTTCGGTTTTGCAAAGTGTTTCGGTTTGAGTTTTGGTCTCGTTCCGGTTTCGGGTTTGAAATAAAAAAATGAAAACAAGTTTGACAAGAAAAATTATTTATTATATTAACGTCACAACGTTAAGTAACATTGTAACATTGTAATAAGAATGACTTGTTGCTGATAGGTATTCCATATACATGCACATATGAACAGGGAACGGATTTTATGGAAATTTCCTTTTTTTCTGCTAAAGAGATAGACTATATTCGATTAAGAATGTCCACGATTTAGCTTTCCCTGATTCCATATATACACATTTGATGTTGCCTTTTTTTGCCTTTTTTTAAGATATTTGCCTTTTTTTTGCCTTTTTTTGCCTTTTCTATCTTTAAAATATTTACAAATTTACAATTTTTTTTTTAAATTAAAATATATACACATTGCCCATGCGGCTGATTGAAGCGCAGAGACCTCTTGCCAAATCGGTGTTGGAAAAATTCAAAGCCGTTTTCTCAGCTAACGAAGGCTTGGAGACAATAAGGGGTGTGGATAAAATTGTAAAGGGCGAGGAAAACGCCCTTATTCCTGATAATATGAACGTTTCAAACGCTACATATTTAAATTGGGCGCCGCTTGTATCAACTTACGTCGAGCACACATTTAGTACATTCAAGTCTTTTCTTCGCGAAAATCGAATGAAAATGCTGCAGAAAACTTCAAAATGCATCTTGTGGTTCAATGTTACTACAACTATACAGATTAAAATTTTATGAGTTAGAAACTAGAAAGGATAAAATAGTCAAAGATTCTAAGTACAAATTTTTCATATAATGAAACTAGTTCATAGTTTTTCTCTTTTTACTTGTAATATAAATATTTCTAAAATAAATGTATTTTTTGATTGTTCTTTGTATTTTCTGTCTTTTTTAGTGCCTTATTTTTTTTTTTTTTGCAATACCTAGTGCGTTTTCCTGCCTTTTTCGCTATTTTGTTTTGCCTTTTTTGCAACACCTAGTGCCTTTTCCTGCCTTTTCCACTATTTTATTTTGCCTTTTACAGCCTA